GACAAAGACATAACATCGTGGACGAAAATGTATACCATGAAATGTTTTTTTTGATTTTGTGAACAATGAATTGTGGTAGATTTTCGAGAGTCGAAGAGAAATGATATTTTTCGGATTTTTATCAAATAAATATGGCATTTTTGGCAAAAATTCCTATAAAGAAGTGGGTTGGAAATGAAAGAATTTTATGGGAAAACTTTAGGGTTTCAAACGAAGAAAAATAATGCTACTAATAAACAAAGTCATCTCATACCAAAAAAAAAGTCATCAAATCCTAATACAGAGGTTACAAAAGTCTCTGGATATATAATCTTCAATTCCACATTTAAACTTGATTGTTACTTGAAGATGTTGTTTGATTCTCACTGCATTTTCCTCTCTGTGTGCCATAACATGAAACTGTTAATTAGGAAATTGAGTAAAACCAATATATTAAAAACTAAAGATTGATTTTAACAACAAATCATACCTAAGTTGTCAACTTCCTGCAATGAATCTTCTAATTTCTGTTCCATTTTCTCGACCTCTGCGCAAAACCGTCTGATGCTAGTTAAAGTATCTACATAGCTCTGCTTTACCTTAGCCACATGATCTGAGACAGAGCAAGGTTGCGTGTGCTTCAAGATTCCTCGATCACATGTTGATTTGTTAGATGACCTAGAAGTTTCTCCTTCTACAGCTATATTTTGCCTCCCGTCATGATTCGATCTAGTCTCTTGAGCTTGATCAGGACTGCATCTTTGGACTCGAGCTTTCTTCTGTGTCTTTACTTCAAATGGTGATTGCTCCATCTGAATACAAGTGGTTGTTAAATAGCTTCCAACTTAGCAAACCCTAAAACGTGGACCACAAGTAATTTGGCGTTCACACTTACCTTGGAGCAGAACTTAAGCAACGGACTTGTCCCTCCTCTGATCAACTCCAAAGTTAAAGACTCGTAAGGACTTACTCCATTCGTTACACAGTAACTTTTCCAATCATTACCACTCATAATGTACATCGATCTTGATCTATGACTCCTCTCACACTTAAGCTTCATTGACCACTCATCTCCGTTTTTGTCAACCAGAATTATCTTCCCCGCCTTGGTCAATCCGTTGGCTCTCGTGAAACTAACCGGTAGATGCTGCAAAAGATTCAAAAGTTACGAAAGCAATGCGTTGAAGAAAGTAAAACCTAGGACAGAGAGTTTTCAAATACTTACTTGTTTACCAAGTTCAAGGCTGTTAGGTGTAGGAGTTAACTTCACAAACCGGTTTTCTTCCGGGGATCGGATGTTTTTATTCCGCTCAGCTTTTGTGCGGCTGCAGAGCCGAAACACGGGTTTTTCCGTGTTTCGGAGCAGTTTAAATGTACAAGAATCTCCAGCTTCTAATCTATTTGCGGAGCAGAAACTTGTCCAACCTCGACCTATGTAAACCCGATTAGACACAATGCTCTTTAGCTCTGACTCCCATGACTTTCCTTCTTCGTTCATCAAAACTATCTCTTGACTTTCTTTGTTCAAACCATTCCGCTTTGCGAATTCCATGGGCACACTCTGCATCAGTCATCAAAATTCCATTATACACACTATAAACCCTGAAATAGATTTATGGAACACAATAACAACAAAGAAACCGCTAAACTAACTAACCATTGTATCTCTTGATAGATTTGAAGCCGTTACAGTTTGGCTAAAACTACTGAGATCAGATAAAGACTGATCAGATTCTGATTTCACATTCTCCACAATTTTCTTTTTCTTTCTTGAAGATTCTCCTGAAGCAGAAATTCTAACCTTTTCAAAAAACTGAAAAAGGTTCTTAATAAATGTAAATGAACACATTGAATGATGATTCCATTATACCAGTTTCATCACCCTCTTCGTCTTCATCATGGCTACGAGACGTTGTGTATTGGATCTCACAACAACTTGGTCCTAAAGCAGTGACATGGAACAACATGTCTCCTTCGTGTCTAAAGACAACGAAGTCACCGATTCGAAGATCATGTGCCTCCACGAACTCTTTCCAACCGTTGGTGAGGCTATGGCCTTCCATCTTCACTTTCCATGTTCTCTCCGACGCATCTGATCTCAGATTTAGAGTCTTGCTCTCGTGTTTTCCCTCGATGTTCTTGGAGAAGAACTTCACAGGAATTTCCTGCAACGGAAAAACAGAGCATTTGTATC